GAAGGTTTCGGATTTGAAATTAGGATCATGAAGTTCATTGGTTTGGTTTGCAGAGCTTGGAATTGATGCTCCTTCTGCCAGGGATTCCTGGTCTTGTTCTGGATCATTTCGAGCTGCCATTGCAGCTTTTTCTTCAGCTGTATAAGCCATAGCGAGTTGCTATTTCAATTTCGGTTTATATCGTCAAGTCAGACACATATTGCCAAAGGCCCTATTGTGCAGTTGTTGGCTGTAGGAGCCACTCGAGAGGAGTGCACTTCCCTCACAGTTATATCCTTGTCGAGGGAGCGTTGTAAAAGGTCTGACTTGCGAAGGTGGTGTGTGTGTGTCGAGCTGACTGTCGAAAGCCAACTTTGAGAGGTTGCCTCGAGATCGTCCTGGAATCGACTTCAGGATAAGGTTTCTGGTTCTGGGGTTTTCAAAGAGTGGATTTCGATTTCGATTTCAGAAAAGGGTTCAGCTCAAAGAGCAGGAAAAGAGGTATAAGAGAGATTGAGTTTTATGTCACGGTTCACCAAGGCATAGGGCGCCAGTTGGGTATTATGAATTAAACTCAATCTAGAGAAGAAAGGAAAGAGAAGAGAAGCACTCGAGCAGTGGCTCGATCTATATACAGCTATTGTGGAGTGAATTCTCTTTAGCGAGACCAGTTCTGAGAATTCACTCCACAACTGAAAACTTCGCTCCAACCCTGGAAAGCTCCCCACACCCCTGAACCCCCACTCGAGCTGCAAGGCGCACTTGATATCGTAACATAGAGTGCCCTGTTAAGTTTCCAGCATTTTCCTTGCTCCTGGTAGCCGTCTGCACACCGTACGTAGACCTCCTCGTCAATACGGCTGTTTGTGAATGCGTTTATAGCATCTAATTGTTGTGTATCCAAATCAAAGTAGGCTGTGATTGCCATTAAGGCTCGGAAGGTTTTTGAAGCAAGCGTAGCTGCGTACGTCTCATCATGGATAGAATAGCGTTGTAGGTCGCCTCTTACAACAAGTCTAGCCTTATATTTAAGAAGGTAGCCATTGTCATTGAATTTGTATGTGAAAACCCACATAAGGGGTATCACAAAGTTCCGTACGGAGCTGTCGTTGACAGATGTAAACGTTCCTTGCTTTCGAAGGTCTCCTATTTCCTTTGCAGCTGCAGCTTGGAATCCTATTCGATGTGGATGAGTTTGGAGTTGATTCCAGAACTTTGGAGCAGCTGGTAGGTCCGTACGGTGTATGCTCTGTCGATTGAACTCCGTTCCTACTAGGAAAGCTTGGTGTAAGCTTAGCTTTGCTTCTGGTATCGCTATTGTAGCTAGGTAGACGTCGTGTCTTCGTACAGTGTCCTCAGGGCGTTCCGGTGTCATTTCAGGTGTTTGAAGTTGTTCCTGTAGCTCTGTAGCTCCGTGGTCCTTCTGAGTAGGCGGCTCTTCTTGAGGAGAGGAGGTGTTTGTTGCCTCTGATTCGTACAGAATTGTTGTCCCGTTCTGAGGCTGCTGTTCCCCCTCAAACTCCTCATCTTCTTGATCTTGAATATCTGGTATTTCAATGACCTGAACTGTCTTTTCGAGCTCTGTTTGGACAAGCTGAGCCTCGTACGAAGGGTCATAAGCCTTTGTCTCATCAAAGGTAATGTCTCTTGTAACTATAACCCTTTTAAGTTGCGGAACCCAAATGCGGAATATGTTTGTAGAGTTATAGCCAACTAGGTAGCCTATTTGGGCGTTCCTCTGTATCCTCTCAAGCTTTGGCTTGTTTAGAATAAGGGCATAGGCTCTACAGCCATAAGCGCAAATATGAGAGAGTAATGGCTTAAGTAGCTCTGGCTTTTGGCTCTCTGTAGGTAAGGACTGGAGTAGAAGTCCATACGGGGTCTCATCGTTTATGACTGATGATGGTGAGCGGTTTATGAGGTACCCTGCTGTTTTGAAAATCTCAGGCCACATTCCTTCTGGTAAGTTGGCTGATTCTTTAAGTGCGCGTGATCGTGTGATTATCGTACGGCCTGACCTCTCTATTCCTCCGTTCGGCTCTGCTGTATAGGGTGGAGAGATGTGGATTTCATATCCTTCGTCCTTAATCCAACCCTCCCATTCATTTCCAAGTGAGGCTTCACCATCTAGGTGGAATATGCGGATTTGGAACCCCCATCTTCTCCGTACGTAGCTCACAAAGTCCTTAATCGTCTGTAGGAGCGTTCCTTGTGTTTTATCCTTTATAGTATAGACGTGGTTCATGCGGCAATTATCACATAGGAAGTGTAAGGCTTGTGTGCTGCCATCGTACGCCTCTGGCATTTGGATTAGGTCAAGGTGGACCTTCTCATATGGCACTTTTGAGCGTGGTGTAGATCTTCTAGAAATCTGCCTTGTAGCATGCGTAAGTCGGCATACTTCGCACTGAGTATCGTACGAGTCTAGGTCTGTGACGATAACTCTGGCGGTCTTCTCTTGGAGTTTTCTAATGGCGTTTTGGTTTAGGTGTCCCATGCGGTTATGCCATTCCTTTGCAGTGCCTTTTAGGTCCTTACGAGGTCCGTACGAAGATAGGACAACGTTGTCCTGTTGATCCTGAGTGCTATAAACAGCTCGGGTAGGCTCATTTTTGATGTATTCAAGAACCCATTGTCCATGAAGCATTGGAGTGTTGCAGAACGGTTGATCTCCGTACGTAAGTCCTTGTGCGGCGGTATTCCAATGAACTCCCTTTTGGATGAATCGTCTAAGAGAAGCGACTGAAGTGTGGAAGGATGAAACGAGAGCTGTATCTGTAAGGGTGATAGTCCGTAGAGACTTCTTATCCTCCCCGTTTTGGACTGTAATATCTACAGACCCAAACACTTCAATCTTCACCCTTTGGTCTCCAGCTAAGAGGTAGCTATTATCTTGACATTCTTGGATATTGTAGAACCTCGTACGGTCGTTGCAGACGTGAATTGTAGCTCCAGAGTCGAGAATTATGCTTTTAGAGAGCTCATAGGCTGAGGTTTTCGGCTTTAGTCCTTGGGAGACTTGGAAGACTGTAGTGAAAGACATAGGTGGATCTGTATTCGTACGGGATTGTACTCCATTCGGGTTGTTGAAATTGTTCTGTTCTTCTGCCTTTTGGATAACGTACTGGAATCCTGGTTTGTCACTTATATAGGCCTCTACTTTAGCTTCAATCTCTTTATTTGGGCGCCATTGCCTCGTACGCTTTGACTTCATCACATAGAGGCAGTCCCGCCACTTGTGTGTTGTTCCGCAAGGGCAGTCTAGTCGAGCCTGATTTTTCTGTTTTCTGCCTCTCTGACCTTGCTGACCTTGTTGTAGGTTGTTCGTACGGCCTTGGAGCGTTGGCTGTAGGTCGCTATTGTCATCCTCTTGTAGTGCGAAAACTCCATGTTCCCCCCTAGGTTTCTGGGTGAATTTCTCTTGCCTACGGTTGGTTCTATAGTGTCGTAGGACCTCCTCAAATTCGTACGACTTTGTCTGCTTCTCTAGCTTGTGTTTCCATGGTCCTCGGAATTCGCAAGGTCCTATTGCATCAAGAAAGGTATAGATAGCGTCGTGAGGGTTGATAACCTCTGTTGCCTGTAGCGTACGGCCTTGAGTGTATAGATTCTCCCAGTTTAGGAGCCAGTCTTCAAGGTCCTTGCCTCTTTGCATTTTCGCAGCCTTTTGCCATTCTAGTCTCCATTCTCCGATTCTAGCTCTTTGAGTAGGTGCGAATCGGTCTCGTAGCTTTCTAAGCATATCGTACGGAGTATCGCAATTGTAGGTATAGGGTAGGAAGTCGCGTTTGATGGTTTCTTGCATCTTAGAGCGAAGCCCCTGAATTGCTTCCTCCTGCTTTTCCCACACCTTGCGCTCATATTGGAAATCAGCTTGTAGGTTTCGAAGCTGTTCCTTCTGATCTTCTGTAAGAGATGCGTACATAATTGGCGTTAATTGCTGTTGGCCTTCTACTGAAGGTTGGATGGTCTGGCTACCTGAAGCTCTTGTTGACACTCCAGGTCTTGTTTGAGCAGTAACACCACCACCAGCTTGCGTGGCACTCCGTACGAACTCAGAAATAGGTCGAACGGGCTGTAGGAGTGTAGGAGGGTCCTCGATTGATGGATCGATATACCCCCATACTCCTGCCTTCATTGAAGCAGTTTTGATAGTCTCTATCCACTCGTCCCAGTCTCTAGGGCTTGTGAGGACCACCCCCGCCTTCTGTAGGGTCGCCATAATGATGGTTTTTTCGACTCCTAGGAGGGGTATTAGGTCCGTACGGGTTTCTATAGGCTTCAAAATGCGTCTTGGAGTTGCTCCGGGCTCATAACTGTTGAGTAATCTGTGTATTGTATTCCTGTCTATCTATTGCTGCCTGAAATTGCGGGGAAGTGGTGCTGAGATCATGTGACATATTACAACAGATAATCCGTACGGGGATCACGTGAGATCATGTGACTATTACAACAATACCGGATTAGCGTGCTTCTCACGCTTCCCACACTACATTCACGTGACCCTGTCTGATACAGTACCAACCATTCTATCTTGATCGAACTATGTAACAGATTGGCTAACATGAAGGCAGACTTAATAGAATGCACGTATGTGTGTGACAGTAGCAAAGGCTGTGGCCTGCACCACGCCGTGCAGGCCTCCCTCCAGCCGCCGCAGCTGAAGGAATATCGCCGTGTTCTGCCGGCCTCACTCCTTTCTCTTTCCATCTGTCATCTCTTTATCGGGGGAGACTTGTTTCAAGATATTTCGCCGATGAGCCGCTCCTGAATGCGACAATCATACACCCGCATACGAGACTCATGTACTCTAACTGCAGCCGCCTGTTGCATCACCGAGTCCAAGTCGCCGGCTGCCTGCGCGCGCAAGTCCCAGCCTCGAATTCTCTATTCCGCGCAAAACTGATATAACTACATCCTGTTGCATATGCGACTGCATGCTGTTACATTGGGTTCGTAGTCGCAGCATTTTCGAGTCCAAGCTGCCGACCGTCTGCCCTCAAATCCTACCCTTGAATTCTCTACCCCGAGCCCACGATGATGGACAATCCTCCCCTCGACCACAACTCAGCCATAGCCGAGTTCAGAGCTGCCCGGAAGAAATATACCCAGAAGGCTGCCTGTGGGAGAAACTATGTTCTGGTGAAGAAGCTCAAGCTTTGGCTAGAGAGCAATGGAACAGACGGTAGATCCCAGGCTAGCCATCTCCTCGAATTCGCATACCGCAAACGCAGCCATCATAGGCCCGTTCTCCCAATCGCGCGGGAAGTATTGTCTGATAGACACAATGGGTACCTTCTTGTTTTCTGTATAGTGGTCGAACTTGACCATGGCCATCTAATCGACGAATTCTGGAAACAAGACATTTGCGACAAACATCTTCCAAGAGAAGGCTGCAACCATGGGTACAAGCGACCCCAACTCATTGGCAAACGGCTTCAACAACATGCAGTGGCAGTTTTGCCCAACTACATTTGAGTTGAGAAGGGGACGCAAATTGGTTGTAGAACATATTTTGCCATTCTACAAAAAGGAGAAAATCAATGAGAAGGGTGCTACCGCCCAACTCTGGCAAATTGAAGTCCTCGAGGAGTTTGTAGGTCCTAATCTTGCTCGAGCTGTTGCGAAAGATGGCGACTACAATGACCCGAATAATGACATTGGCCAGGTAAGTTGGTTCCCATCTTCAGCTGCAGAAGCACAACAGTGGGAATGAGAATGTGTTGGTAATAACCGGACTATAGCGGTATCACTTCGCTATAAAAACCTTTGACGAAGGTAAACGAGATCTTTTCGAAAACGAAAAAGAAGCATTTCTAGCTCTTTGTGACCATCCAGGCATGATACAGTAGTTGGGCGATTACGAGCATGTTGAAGTTCGCCAATCATCTGGTCATCACTCGCGGTGGGACATCAGAAACCGGGACCATAAAGGCAAATATCTCAAACATCATTTTGGAATATGGAGATCACGATGTAGATGAATATTTTATGGAGTTTGTTCCACCGGTCTTCCAAAGTGAGATCAAATCCTTTTGGGGGTGTCTGTTTGATGTAGCCGATGCAGTTAAGCACATACACCACTTGAAGGTCAACACAGAAGGTCGAACGCAAGGATTCAATGGGTAAGTACTAATCCAGCTAATGATTTTATGAAGCTGACGGACGGTTTTAGGTGGCACGCGAAAATTAAGCCGGATAATATTCTGACTGTTCAAGGTCAATTTAAATTAGCTGACCCAGGATTTGCAACGTTTGTGAAAAAGAAAAATACGGAAACAGATCCCAAGAAGGTCGTTGCTGGAGGCACAGAGACATACAGTAAGTAATTATCAATATAATACCGATCTAAGGCACGGCCTTCTGACATTCTGGTCTAGGTGCCCCGGAACGCCGATACTCCAGCAGTGGAACAAGGGAAGGAGCAGTCTCGCAAAAGATCGATATCTGGTCTTTAGGATGCGTTTTTTCCATCGCTGCGACCTGGGTTGTTCTGGGCCACGAAGGCATACGGCAATTTACGGAGTTACGCCAGAGGTCAATTCGCAAGATTATCGGACAACAGGCTGCACAACTCACCGGACCCTACCCTAACCTAGACTATTTCCATAACGGCAGAGAAGTTCTCCCTGATGTGCTAAGCTGGCATGCATATTTGCGAAGCGTATTACGCAAGTCCGACACTATTACCAGCAGCGTACTTGATCTTATTGACAATGAGATGTTTGTAGGAGACGCGGGTTGTCGAATCAAGGCAACCGAGCTTTTGCAAAAAACTGGATGATATCAAGTCTCAGATGCAAACCGAAACCCGGGCGCTCCCAAAAACTACCATGGAGGCTCTTCTTGCGGTTGACGAAGCTCCCCCAAAGCAGGCAATGGCAAGCACCACCCATAAACTCACCATGCCAAAGGAATCCCCTACAATTGTTGATAAGCGTCAAGCCCAAAAATCGGCACTTCTTGTAGCCCCTTTGAAGATGACGGCCCGACGCTCCGAGTATCTCAAGTCAGAATTGAGTAATTCATATGTCAACATCCAAAGAGATGAAGAGTATCCTGAAATTTCTATAATTGTCCCATCGTCTCATAAGCCGGTAACCCAGAACGTCAATGAAGAGCCGCCTCTATTGAACCGAAGAAGTTCCCGGATTCAAGCGGAGAACATATCAGCTATAGAAGTTGTAGAAGCACCTCTTAGCCCACGATATATGCAAAGTGGCTCGTTCGCTACAACTAAGCAACGTCCCACAAGCCGGAAACGGAGAACCAACCCGCCGCAGGATGTCTTCCAAGCCCGCGAAGAAGTCGAGAGCCGTCCAAAGGTGCATCTATTTAGAAGAAAGACTACTAAAGATGATCTCCTTTCTAGATATTTTAGTAATCGAGATATAGTAAGTTGCATGTCCTAGAAGTAATATAACAAAACCTAACTAATACTTCTAAGAAATTTTTAGTAGATAATGCCGAGTCAATGAGTCAATATTGGTATAATGCAAAGTATCTACTCGAGACTCTCATACTAAAAGCGATGGGCCAAGACGACAATGGAATGGACCTCTCTTTCACTTTCTGAAACATTTCAGTTCAGAATAGCAACGACGTATCTAAGTTTACAAAAGCTATAGATGATCCTAAAGTACAGCCAAGAGATCATTTGCACACCGACATGAAGGGATCACTTGGGGATATCTTCCACGAATACTTTCAAGAGGCGAAGAGAAGGGGGAGCTGGAGCAAAAACCTCACATTGATTGTTCTTACAGATGGGATGGCATGGAAGACAAGAATGGAGTCGACACTATGATCATCGAGTTTGGCAACCAAGTACAGAAAATATTTGGTAACCTAAAACATTGCCCCGTAAGCATAGAGTTCATCCAATTCGGCCATGACCCAAATGCGACGAGCAGATTACGGAGATTAGATGACGATCTAGTATACTATGGAATTCCGTAAGTGTCTCCTTGTAGTGGTTGTAGAGGTATAGGTACTAACTGCCTATGTAGGGACATTGTTGACTCCGAGCACTGCTCGGGGGATGTTAACAAAATGCTTCTAGGAAGCTTCGTCGAAGAATACGATCTCTTCGATGACGGTGAGCCCGCTTCTATGTCCATAAGCGCAGGAGTAGACGCAGGCCCTCCAACGGAGACCCCATTGTCGCAGCTTACAAATCATTTCCCGACCTCGAGCAATGCTTAGATTGGCCTGTTCGAAATGCCGACGAGTGTGGAAGTGATCGGTGTTCCGATGAGACGTGCTTTTGGCGGAATGTAGCTAGGTAAATAATTAAAGGAGGAGAAGGGCCAGTTACATATACGGGGATCGAGAGACGCGAACAGGAGTTTATTCGCAGTCGATGAGGTATATAATGCAGACTCTAATCTAGTCTACCTACATCTTAAGAACAAAGTTAGTTACACAACGCAGCCCCACACTCACACTCCCGCCCGCCTTCCCGCTAACTTTACTTTTAAGCATAACCACTCGTCCGCTAACCAGCTCACGCCTTTATTGCATGCCCTTTAGGAATGGGGGCGTGCTCGTGTGAGTGTTAGGGGGCCCTCTCTACCTCCCTATTCCATCACCCTTCCTTGGCCTGTGACCTGTACCTCCCACCCTATTCCATCACCTCCCGCTTCTTACTTGGCCTGAAAACTCTAGCTCCCTCCCTTGTATCAAAAATCGTAAGAGGCCATTCGATTCTTCTTGTAAATCTCTCTCAATGACAGTACTAGACGTTACGTTTCGCCCGTTGCTGCAGACCTAGGCCACATCTCATACCATGGCTTCCTGCCTACCAACTCCAGAATATCTCTCTCATTTGAAGTTGTATCAAAATTCTGAAAAAGCCATTTTCTTCTGCTCGTAAAACAGCCCTATATACAATGTCGACCAACCCATTATAGTCAGAATTTATAATAAATTAATTGAGTTTGGAATTTTTGACTTTTGACACATTTACTAGGAAGCTGGCCTCTATCGGGGCCTGTTTTGCATTTTCGACTTTTTTCCACTTTTTTGCCGGGTAGCTCACTTGGGGTCGTGCCCCATTTTCGCTTTTTTTGGCCCTATATACCTATGTACACCCCTAACCCAAACTTCAACATTGAATAACGTTTGTACCTAATGCGCTACGGACTTTATTTCAGTTTTATTAAATTCGTGCGATTGAGCTCTATGTTTTTCATCATATAAACGAATTGATGAGACAAGTGGATAAGATGTTACAGTGCACCTTTGAATTTTCGACTTTTGAGACCTTTACTAGGTAGGCGGCCACCATCGCAGCCAGTTTTGAATTTTCGACTTTTTTTCAATTTTTGCCGGGTAGGTTGATTATAGCGTTGGTACCTTGTGCGCTCCAGCCAGGGTGTGGGCGGGTGGTCGCATTTTCGCATTTTCAGCCCTATGTACGTACCCTTACCCTACTAAAATCCAACCCCTAGAACTTCAACATTAAATAACCTCTGTACCTAAAGAGCTATCGACTTAGGAGTGATTTTATGAATTTCGCACGCCTTAGGAGCACATATATAGCCATATAACCTATTGTGTAAAGTCGCTATATAGTGTGGTGTAATTGATTAAAGGTCTCACTTTCTCTAAGGCGATTTCATCGACTGTTCCTGCATCCAGGCAGATTGGAAACTTTAAATACTCCCAGTTGTCTATATACCCTGCATTTGACGTGATAAGTTTTATATACCCTACATAATATGAAACCCCCTGCGACCAGTAAAAACCCCCCAATTCCCCCCCCGTAGCCTCCCGTAGCCCCCTCGCCGTCGCCCCCTCGCTGTCGCTCCTTTCGACGGCCTCATTCGGCCCAGTCGTTAAGGACTCTCGACCAGGCGTCTAGGTCGAGGTAGAGCTGACCGTTCATAGGAACGGTCAGCTCGCCAAGAGAAGCCATCCTCGTGGGCCTGAGCCGAGCTCAGGACTTCCGATGCCTCGCGACGAGGGCTTCCGAAGAGTCGTCGAGTGCCTCAGTGAGGGCAGCGGCTAGCGAGTCAGCTGGGACAGCGAGGAGGGCGACGGCGAGGGGGAGCAACCGCGAGGGAGGCAACGCGAGGGAGAGAGGCAACGCGAGGGAGGGAGGCAACGCGAGGGAGGGAGGCAACGCGCCGAGCGCGTTGAGTGGTTTCCTGCTTAGTAAGAATCACCATGGTATATAAAACTTATTTATGAACTTACCGGGTATAGGCTGCGCACTGGGTACTCATGAGTCGAGTAGTAGAATTTCTACTCACCCAGCTGAGTTACTCACTCATATCCCGAGTATTGTTGAATGAGGATTACTCACTTGCCGGGTACCTAGTATAGGTCTTGGCAACCCAGTTATATCACGTGTTTGATTAGTCATTGAAAAGGGGGTGTGATCGTGACTTCACATTGATATCGATATCGTAAAACGCCATAACTCAATAACTCCATTCCCATGTCGTTGATATCCTATTCCACACTATAACCTTTGCCTTTAGGTACCAGGTTACCAGAAGGTTGCCAGAACTTATCTAACCTTCATTCCTGGGTGAGAGACATTTCCATCGATTAAGCCTACAGCTCCATGATTAAACATCATATCCCGCAAACGCCGAACCAATACCATATCCTTTGCCTGAATTGTCACTCTCTTCGCATGAATAGCAAGGAGATTTGTCACTATAACTGTTAGTATGTCCCTGTCACTATGTTCAAGTATCATACTCTCAAATTCTCGAATGAGGAAGCATTCGGCAGCTTCCTGGAGAGCTAGGATAGCAGATTGCTGGAAGCGAAGATTGGACTTGAAGTCTTGTGCGATTTCCCTAACAAGACGCTGGAATGAGAGCTTTGGAATAATCAGGCGAGTATCAAGTTGCTGTCTTCTGATATCGCGGAGAGCCTTGGTGCCTATATGTTTATTAGAGAGTTCTGGTAATCCTCTGGTAATCCTCTTACCAGACTTTGCACGGCGCCTGGCCTTCTGAGCATGATTGTTGCAAGCTTGAGATGAGCGAACTGGAGCTTTTCTTGCTGTGCGCACAGCCTTTTCCTTTCCCTTTCCCTTTCCACCAAGCCTAGAGCCAGCCTGTAATCCAAGTGGCATCCTTGGTGCTGTGCCGCCAGTTGATCTCCTAGCAGTTTGCTTAATACGAGCCATTTGCTAACATTAAGATGAGTTAGTGAAGTATACACAAGACAAAGAAGTAGATCAAAAGATATATGTACTTACAGTGAGTTTGTAGCAAGGATGTTGTAGAAAGAGTAAAGAAAGAGGTAGAGGTTGAAAGGTATGTGTTTTATTTGAAGGTACGCGTTGTAGTGTTGTTTAGAACAGTAATTATTTGCAGGTGAATATTCCTTGACGAATATAATTGTTTGCAACTTTAAAAAAACAACAACCTTACAACCAACCACCTTCCTTGGTTACGTTCCGATCTACACATTCTTCTTCTCTTTTGCGCTTTACCTCTTCACTAGGACCTCAAGTAAGTTTATTATCTTGATTCTACAGTCAGAACTTCTGATGATCTTCTGCTAATCACGTGTTTAGCATGGCGAAACGCAAGGCACCTGAAGAACTCTCCACTAATTTGAATACTATCAAAGCTCGCAACCGCGTCTCCAACCTTACTGAAGATGAGAAGGCTGTTCATTTAGCACTCAAGGCTGACCATGGCGATCTGAGCTACTACTTAAAGAAGTTATACAAGTCTGCAAAGTATATCGCTGCCTCTGCTGAAGACAAGACACGTCTACAGAATGAATTGAAGGTTGAGCGTATTCGTGTTCGGTAAGTTCCTTCTGGTAATCTCTGGTAGCCTTAATCTAACTATAAACAGGACTGAAAAGGGCACCCATGCATCTTGCATTGCGAATCAGAAAGTCAAGAATACTAGCGCCCCTTCTTCTTCTCCACAAGCCCCACCATCTACTCCGCCACAACTTCTGTCTGAGCTTGCTGCATTTGAGGGTATCACCAGTATCCCAATCGATGACGATCATAACAGCGAATGGGAGGATACTGAGGTTGAAGACGATTTAGAGTTGGAGCTTATGTTACGGCGCGACGATATTTTAAATGACGAGGCTGTTCTACCAGATGAGCTTTCTGATGAAGAGATCGCATAGCATCCAGGCTCTCTTAACTCAAGCACGCATTGATGTTGGTACCTCATAGTCTGGTAATCTTCTGGTAATCTTCTGGTAATACTAACGGTTGATAGGCCCATGAAGAGTCCAATTTCCGCAAGTGGCAACATTTCTGGGATAGCTGTATCCGCTCATATACGAGAAAGGCTGGAAAGCTGAGAAAGAAGCCTGAGCATCTCTTTGAATATATGCCATGGATTGATGTAGAAGAAGGGTACGTCTCTGATCATTCTAGCAATCTTCTAGAGATACTAATTGTTTATTATAGCACTTTTCACAACGTTATCCCACCACATAAATATTTCTGTTTGTACGAGCAGGCAGTTTGGACAAACTTTACAGCTTGGAAGTTTGGAAAGTGGGCCCAATTACCAGGACCTGCGCAGTGGTACCCAAAGTCTTACAATCTTGTCGACAACGGATGGTTACAAGTCTCCACTCATAGTTCTAGCTTCAAAGAGGCGTTCTTACTTGTCTACTCTAAGAAATTTGATAAGGAAAAGTGGGCTAAGGTATCAGCTGCACAGGATATGTTGTTTCTGGAGTTAGAGTAGAGGAGAGAAATGGAGTATTTGATTTTCCGACGCGAATAGGGGCTATAGAGATTTAAGTATTTCATCGTAGCCAGACTTCTGGTAATCTTCTGATAATCAAACAATTTGCTACTTGCCAAATGTCATCGCAATATTCAGAGTTGTTTGACTCTGACAATCCTATTTCTAATATATTCTCAGACTCTCTTCCCTCTTCTCAACGACTACCTTCATTAAATCAAATCCCTGCGGGCCTCGAATATACTGGCAAATTAAACCAATTCATCAAATGGACTAAGGATACACACGATGTATTCATTGAGTGGTGGAAGCTATCACGATGGTATGAACAACACTCAGATCATACTACAAAACTCCTTACGAAGATTGCATGGGATTCAACCAACCGGAGTTCTCAATACTGGAGAATTTATCACCTAGGAGCAGACCGGCTTTCTGGAGAACCATGTGTCATTTGTACCTATTGTTCGAAGGCCCTTACGCATCCTGCAATCAAGTCTGCTGGCCAAAAGTCTATGGCAACACATCTTGCATCAGACATTTGCAAAAAGAAGTCACGGATGGGTAAGGATAGTCTCTATCAAATGCGAATCAATCAGATGCGACCTCAACAGGTAAGGATTACCAGATTATTACCAGAATTATATAGGCTAATATCTATAATAGGATCATATTCTCACACAAGAGGCATTTTACGAACAAGTTCTATACACAGTTATCTCAACTCATAGCTCGTTCCGCTCAGTCGAGGATCCTGAATGGAAAAGGCTTGCTATCTTACAGAATCCTCACTATCCACTACCCTCAGCAACAACTATTCGAAACCTCTTAACAACAAAGCTCACACAAATCGAAGAAGAGATGCTACAAGATGTTGTTCCTGGTTCAAAGATTGCATTATCGCTCGACTGTTGGTCAAGTGTTACTCGACTTTCATTTATGGGTGTTATTGCATCATTTATCGACCGTCATTGGAAAATGCAAGAGGTCTTGATTGGGTTTGAACCTATATATACAGATCATACTGGTGCTGAGTTATGTGGAATACTTGAAAAAGTTATCACAAGGCAGCATTTAGAAGGACGAATTATATCCATTACGACTGATAATGCGTCAAACAACACTTCAATGATGAGAGATGTGGAAATAATGCTTGATAGTATTGCAGACAACGAGCATTTCATTGGAGGAAAAGTACAACACATACCCTGCCTAGCTCACGTTATTCAACTTGCCCTTAGTGCTCTCCTTGGTCGAATCCGGATTACGCCAACAAATCAAGAGATCTTAATGAACTGGGAAGAAGAGAATCAGATGGAGGGCCTTGCAAAGTTGCAGAAGGACAAGGGTATTGGATTTACACTTGGAAAGGTATATATTCTCTTGTTAGTTCTGGTAAACTTCTGGTAGTCTTTTCTAATATCTCATAGCTCCGGAAGCTCACTATCTTTGTTAATTCAAGTCAAACTCGAAGGAACAGGTTTATGACTTTGCAAAAGGCAAACATGAACCGGGGTCAATCATCTCAGAGGCTTCTTCGACTTATTCAAGATGTATCAACTCGATGGGATTCGACATGCCATATGCTTCTGCGAGCACAGCAACTCAAGTCAACAATCAATCAATATACTCGAGGCGATCATGGTGCTCACATGTTCAGACTTAGCGAGCTAGAATGGAAGCACATCGAATACATCATTGATCTTACAAGGCCATTCAACTTCTTTACAACAAACATTGGATCGTCAGCCGGACCTACTGTCTGCTATACACTTGGAGTATATCAAAAACTCTTATCAACGCTTGAAGGAACTCGGCACCGGCTACGGCATAAGACATATCCATGGGCAGCAAAGATGACTTTAGCAATCGATGCTGCAGAGAAGAAGATTAGGAAGTATTATAACAAGCTATACACAAATACTGGATCTATCTTCGCATTTGCTAGTATCTTAAATCCTAGTGTGAAGCTCTCACACTTTAACAAAAAGGTTTGCAAGCTTGACTTTTCAATACGAAATTGGGAGACAGAGTTTGAACAACAGTTTAGGACTCTTTATAAAGAGCAGTACTCTACAGTGCGAGTTGCGAGTCAATCAGGATTACGAGATGCAGATATGGATCCATTAGCTTGATGAGGCCGGCCAGACCTACTAATACCTAAAGTATTTATAGGGTCTTGACGAGTAGCTTGAAAGATATCAAGTAGATCTCTTCCAGTCTTCCGAGGGCGTTGGATAGGCGTTGGTGGCGAGGACGGCATATCCTTATCTTCATCGTCATGAATAGTTGGAAGTATAGGCTCCTCATTATTACCATCTTCTCTTATATCTTCATTATCTGGGATATCGTCATCTGGGATGTCGTATAAGGTCTCGTTAAGACGGTCAGCCCTATCTCTTTCTTCACCTTGTTGGTAGCGCATTTGTCGTTCTTCATGTGCAGCTTGTGATAAGTCTTGCTGTTGCTGTGGCCGCTGAGGATTAAACGGAGGATATTGTACCTTTGAATATGTCTCTCGGATATGTGTATTTGATCGTGGTTCTTCTTCATCGCTGATATATTGTAACTCGATAGAATTGCACATCCGTTGTCGTTGTGCCTCATACTCTTCTTCGACTTGCTCCTCAGTCATATCAACGACGTCCATCATATCTGCAAGCTTGTCACGATGACCTTGACGATTCTTGTATTGTCGAGAGTAATATATAAGCATAATACTCTTAATCGTCTCAGGATTAAGTTGACCACGTCGGTGGCCACATACGTCCCTTGCGGCACTAAAGACTCGCTCAACTCCAGACTCAGCAGCAGGAATACAAAGTATATCACGAGCCATTGCTGATAGACCAGGAAATTGCTCTTCCTTTTGTTGCCAAAATAGCAATATCTTTGTGTAGATATGTGCTATACAAGTTAGAATAAGATTATCAGAAGATTACCAGAAACTTACCAGCATCAAGATAGAGATCAGCCTCATTCACATATTCCTCTCGCTGGCCCCGAGTCCCATTTAATGTCTGACTTTGCTGCAATACTAAGAGCAAGGTGGAAAGATGTTCTTGAGCATATATAATATAGTGTTCTGATAATCTTCTGATAATCGTGGTACTTAGATAGAGGAATATACGTGATTCGTTCTCACAGCTTATTAGAGATGGTAGAGTGATGCTGATAAATGTAATACTTTAAGTTAACTTACAACTGTAACCATAAAACAGTATTAATCGTATGAGGGACTGTTCACGTAATGCATATATCTTACACGTGACAGCCGAGTACTCACTGGGTTTTTACAGAGTAACTGAGTATTGGCCTCACTCACCGAGTCGAGTGAAAGGTTCAGCTACTCACCCAGCTGAGTAACCCACTGAGTGAGTGAGCCGAGTATTGGGCGAGTAGTGCGCAGCCTAACCGGGTATATAAAACTTTTGCCCTTGATTAAAGGCATAGATAGCCCTTGTGCTAGGAAATCCATCCCGCAGGGGAGGACCCGCCTTTCGCGAGAATCCGGCCAACCGCACTGGCGTAAATCCATCCCGCCGCGGCGGCATCGCGCGGCATAAGAGGTAGGCCAAAATCACCGAAGTCTGCTGTCCTGCCTTGGCAATCAGGGCCTCTTGCTCGTTTGGGGAGAGATGCGAGTAGACAAACCACTCCTTCAGCACTCGGTACCAGGTGTCGTCAAAGCCAGGGGTCTTCTCGGCCAAAGCATCCACCACCTTCTGCGTAGTTGCCATGCTCAGAGTGTTGTTCTTGTCCGCAGGGCGGAGCTCACTGAGGTCGACGACAAAACGAACGGACTTATTCTTGGTTGAACCCCTCAACTCGAAACTATACTCCAAGGGGTTGCCGTCCCAGCCGACCCCGCTCTTCGTGGAGGTATTGTCAGGTCGTGCTCCCAGCAATGGGCAGATGCTGTCTCGATACGGAGGAATTGGCGTTGGACTTCTTCTGGATAATTGGCCTCCATGTTGGATAGGTCACGGCCACTAGTGTTCCACCAGTATGGAGTGACTCCTACCATATCTACCCTTCCATTGCAGGTTGCAGTCTCTTCATCCAGAGACTGAAACACTGCGGACGAAGTAGTGCTCGCCATGGATTGATGGCAAACCCTCAGGTGTCTTAAGGTGGTTGAAAGCGAACCTAGCTTATTGACAAAGTGATAAAGAGATATATGTTTCTTACGGCTTTGGTTTTGACGTGCAGCCGGGGGTGCATGGTTCAGGCTATTGCATTGTTTGTTGAATCTGCCCAAGGTAGGTATCATATCATATCCACGGAGGTATCTTCGCTGGCCCTATCCAGGGGTAGGTGCAGCGGCTGCGCTCACAGCCCGGCCGCCCGCTGCCCGCTGCCCGCTGCCCGCTGCCCGCTGCCCGCTGCCCGCTGCCCGCTGCCCGCTGCCCGCTGCCCGCTGCCCGACAGCCGAGGGAATTCGGAGGTCGAGCGAGCGAGCTTCATTCAGACAAGCAGGCAGCGAAGACCGAAGGACCACTGAGCAGAAAAGAGGAGAGAACAGAACACAACAGAAGATAACAGAGCGCCCCGGTCTGTCGATGAGGTGTTCTGTCACTGCGCCGCAGCGGCGAAGCTCAGAATGAGGTGACAGGTGCAGGTGCTATGCAAGGGTAATAACAGCCAAATCGGTTTAGACTCCCGCCAATAAGTACAGGTGGCAGGTGCCCGCTAATTGCCACTGCCTTTTGGCACCTCCACTGCCTTTTGGCACCTCCCCTCCCTTCCCTGTCAGTAATTTCATGTTTATTGAATTACATTGTTGTACCTAGCCATATCACTATCACCAGACTGGAACAGATCGCCAGCCTACCTACCTACGTTGTCTTCGGCTCATTAATCTCGCGACGGGGCTGGGGCTGGCATTCCATTACATTTTTAATTCCAAACCCATTCACCTCGATCTCACCTGCCTGTATCTACCTCCGCCTCATCGCACCACACACACACATACCCACTCACCGTTCGTCCACCAGCTTCAATTATCAATTCTACGCTTTCACATTCACAGTTACTCGGCCAAGCACTCAGAACCGACACGACACGACTTCCTTCCCCGCTGTCAACATGTCATCAGACACTCCCGCCCTAGTTTTAGTATCGCAGAAGAACATTATCATCCTCGGTGGTTCTTATAGTGGTATTTCTACTGCCCACTCGGAAAGGGATCATCGTATCAAATTGTCTTGGTCAGCCCTTCAGCACAAGTCATATGTCGACCCGCTTGCCCTCGTGCGTTGATTTCGGATACCATGGTCGACCAGAAGAAACTCTTCGTTAACATCCCAAACGCCTTTGAGCAGTACCCCAAGAACAATTTCCGCTTTGTCAATGGTGCAGCCGTAGAGCTTGACCACGTCGAGCGAACTGTCTCAGTCAGCCTCGCAGTCGGCAATACTGAGAAGATAGCCTTTCACGCCCTCATCATCGCAACCGGCGCTTCCACACCTTCTCCACTGCTCGGTCTAAACCGGGACGACGATTTCCTTCGAACAACCTGGGCCGCATTTCGGACCTAACTGCCGATTGCTAAGAGCATCGTTATTGCTGGCGGAGGTCCTGCGGGTATCGAGACAGCGGGCGAACTCGGAGAGTACCTGAACGGCCGAGCTGGTGCCAACTTAGCGAACCCCAAGGTCTCTATCACGGTTGTGACTGCTGGTTCAGAGCTTCTGCCCGCCCTCCGACCTAGCATTGCGAGAAAAGCCGAGGGATTCCTCGCCATGGTCGGCGTGACTGTGGTTAAGAACGCGCGAGTCAAGACGGTAGTCCCAGAAGGTGCAGGCACAGACAGCATTGCAACCAAGGCAAAATTAATTCTCGATAATGGATCAACGTTGGAAGCCGACCTTTACATTCCAGCGACAGGGACTATACCAAATACCAGCTTCATTAACAAAGAGTTCTTAACAGCAGATGGACGTGTCGATACCAATGCCTCTACTTTGCGTATCAATAAAGCCGGCCCGCGCATTTACGCCGTTGGCGATGTAGGATCGTATAGCAGGCCTGCTATCCATCTTATCCTTGATGCAATTCCTATCTTGTGCGCAAACATTAAGCGATTGTTGGCCACTGGGAGAGAGGAGAGCTCTGTTGGAGAGGATAGAGTCTTCAAGTCAGACCTTCGGGAGACGCAAATGGTGCCAACTGGCAAGAACAAGGGAGTAGGCGCGGCCATGGGGTTCCAGCTGCCCAGCTTCATGGTGTGGCTGATCAAGGGCAGGGATTACTGGCTGTGGACAACGGGCGGTCTATGGAGTGGGAAACAGTGGGCTAAGGAATCGTGATCGAATGTTGTTGGAGGAGCTCGAGAGCCAGTCGGAGGTTGGGAGTTGACGAACATGTCGCTGCAGCGTAGACGTGGCCAGTCGGAGTACGGGATGATATCCAGCTTTGCACACCACCAGCTCTTATATTCTATGATTCCAAAAGTCGATCAAAAGTTTGGTGGCAGGATCGACTAGCTCTCCCATTCCTTAGGGGCTTTTTCTCTCACATATTGGCTTTTGCGTTGTACTTCCGTTTCTCGCTTTAGTCCAAGTCCCTTGGCGGACCATAAAACATTCAACCAACCGTGTTCTTCCAAATTTGTATGTGAATTCAATCAAATATGCTTTTCGCAGCACATAAAGGAGAGGGTAGGATGTGAACTAAAGTGGACATGTTTTCAGATTGAATATGGTACCTTTGTGTGTTAAATCTCCGGAACCCATGCATACACCCGCTCCGATGACACGCATCAGAGGTGTCACACACTCCAGATTCCAGCTTTGACTAGGGTAAGCCAGGATTTCAACGCCCACCCATCCCAATAGCATTGTTATTGATAAGGCTTCAAGCGCCCTCTCTCAGCTTGACTCGCTTGAGCTAAGACTATTCAGTAGCAGAAGATTTGGATAAAACAGCCTTCACGGTAGGTAGTAGGAGAAACTAAGCTGTTTTTGCGCTCTCGAACCACAGCATAGCTGACCGGTGAAACGTGACGGATATGAAATGGCAATTCTGCACGTCACTAAGTCTAAAGTCTAATAATCTGACAGTTCTAAACGAACGACTTGTCTAGCTGTGGTCTCCATGAACCTGATGATCATTCGCCCGTGGCCTCTTCCTTGGCCGTTTCCTCGCCGGCTCAGATACGCACTGTACCTGCTGTTGCTGTTGCTCCATCGGCAATCCTTGATCCTGACCTCCATCCTGTACATCCACATTCGACCTCTCAACCTGATCCATGAAAGTCGAGATGTCGAACTGTCTTTCAGGCATCATAGTCGATAGGGGGTTGAGAGGTGCCAGAGAAATCCAATTCTGCGCCGACCACATGGGCGTCGTAGTAGACGAATTTGACATCGAATCTTGCGGTGTATCCCACGGGGACTGCATTGGCACGTTCAGTTGGGATGGGGATATGCCATTGCTGCTGTAGGAACTGGGACCGGGCATGCCCATGTAGTTGGAGAAGGCATCTGGAGGTAGAGAGGGCTCCAGTGTAAGCATAGGCTCGAAAGAATACGTATCCTCCTCGTCGTCGTCGTCGTCACCATCTTCATGTTCACCATCGCCATCGTTATCATCATCTGCGCCAACGCGGCAAGTCGGATTCATGCTGGCATGAATGATGTTTACTAAGTTCTGTATGGTACGACCAAGTTTGGAGCCTAGGGTGTCACTACTTATGTTCCCATGATCTGCTATAGAAGAGGGCGGCTTTTTGCTGCGGAAGCAGAAGAGTAGCGCCTCAAGCAATAAGATATCGTGAGTGATCTCGGTTGTCCTTTTCTTGTCACTCTGGACTGCGGCTGGAGCATATTGAGAAGGTGGGACACGTTTGTCTATATCGAGAATGTGTCTTGCGAGCACAAAGATGGCTGCAATAGGGAATACATTCGTAATGCGGTGCAGCGGCAGCGGTGTCGGGATTGGATCTTGGACACTGCTGAAATTTGAGCCTCCTGGTATCGGAGGCCTGATTCCCGGTGGTGCGTCCAACGCGGAGGGGAAAGTAGAGGTAGAGGTTGATGAAACTGATGTTGGCAGTGCCGCACTGGGACACAAATGTGTGCCGAAGCCTTTGGGAGAATTAAAGTGGGTCTTGCTGAGCAAACTATCTACTTGGCTCGTCAACGCCTGATCTAGATTCTGGTTGCATGAAATGGCGATCAGAAGACAGCTCAGACGGGCGTCGTCTATCACTTGCACCAAGGCGGGGCAAGCAGCGTCGTCTGTATCACTTTCACTCTCCAACATCAGAATGCGTGTACCAAGAAAAGCGAGATGGAGCGATATTTCATGCACGGTGGTGGGCCGATTCGGCGACGGGATCTTATATGTCTCTGCCCATGTCTTGAGCTTCTGTTGCAGCCGTGCAAGTGCAACACGCCTCCCCGATTTAGACACCGGTGGTGCATCTGTAGAGTATAGCAAACAACGAAGCTCATCTTGGATTCCGGCCAGCTTCCAGTGGGGGGTATGTTGTGGATAAAGCTGGTTTGATACGATACCCCCCTGTTCAGACGACTTGCCAGGTGTTTGTGAACCTCTTTGATCCGCGCTCGGAAGCCAAGCCAATGCTCCATATGCGATCATGGAGAATCGATCACGAATGTACAAGGACCTGAAAACCTTTTGCCGCTCTTCTGCCTCGACGACAGAGAGGTCCGAGGCTGGGCTGAGGTCGCTGTCGGCCTGGTGTAAGCCCGATTCCGTAGCCAGAACGCAAGCGCGAGCAAAGAGGGAATCACCCAGCGTCTGATTATCAGTATGGTATTGCTGTACGAAATGGCTCTGTCCAGTGACGTATAACATTAGCCCTTTCTTGACAGCCATGATCCAGGAAGCAAGATCTGTCTGAGACCAAGGGAAATATCCATTACTCACATAAAGTGCTAAGGCCTGGACGTTGGCGAAGCGCGTTGACATGAAGCAGCTTGGTTTTTCTGCCATGGCCTGCGCTGCTTGAAGCATGGGCCGTACAAAAGGGTCGTCACTCCGAACGGGGTTATCGGACCCCAGGGTGAGCAGTATGATGAGATTGAAGCACAATGCCCATGGCTCCGATGCTGGAGTCGACGGCTCCTCATAGACGCGCTCGATGGCCTCTTGTATGCTCCGACGACAGAAGATATTGGTGCTATAGTCTGCCTGCTTGACGAAACTGTCTAGCATGACAGAGAGCAGATGTTTGGGGGGGAGATTGCAGGTATTAAGCTCTGTTCGTCCTGATCCAGGCTCAAGAAGATCCAGGCTGCCCTCGTTAACCCGGGTAGAATCAAACAGCAAGTGATTGACAAGACCAGTGACAACCTCGTTGTTGGTATTGCCATTACACGAAGCCAGGTCTGCCGCAAAGTCGAGGCATAAAGAGACTAGCGTCCTCGGGCCATGATACCTCTCAATCTGCGTCACACCATTGCGATCTACGTGGCCGGCCTGGATGGAAGCGACCTCATCTTCGCTGCCATGGGTTATTGAGACGTCTCTCGGCAGGGTAAGCTCGGGCTGTCCAGCGATATTGGACCTCTTAAGCGCAGTCGTCAGCCAAGACAGCTCCCCTTGCATCTTAACCACGCGGTCCTGTATATCACCGAGATTGTGCGACCTGAGTTCCACCGACCCATTAGATGTATGTTGAGCCAAGAGGGGAAGTCGTACTCACAGCACTTTGACGTGGTTCACTCTTTTGAGCGCCGGCGAATACACGCATTCAACTTGATCTCGAATACAACAGCCGCACATTGGCTTTTCTCTCCCACATCGGATCTTGCGTGTACGGCAGCTAGCACACGCAGCATCATGGGTCGCCCACTGCTAAGAATGAATGACAGCTCCACATGCCTTCGGCAAGGCCTTCCCTGTAGTATGAAAGGAGGCTACTTACTTCCTTCTTAGACGCACTAACCATCTTGTTTCCAGATCACGGGGTACGGACCGTCTTGCTCCTAGAACTGATTACTGATAACAACTCAGTAAAAGCATCCGTCGGGTTCTTGGGCCTTGGATGGGAAGCTACTGGTTGGTAGCTTAAGGTTGCTGTGGAATAACAGCGGGCCTTAACGGTCGCACTGTATCAAGGAATTATTGTTCATGGGGGCTGATCAAGGAATAATTGTAAGAGAGCCTTGGCTGGACAGGGCAGATACGTAGAAGACTCTGTATTCATCCGAGGACGCTGTCGCTGACCTACTATATACAACTCGCTATGTACAACTGCCTTGGCACCGCAGCGCACGTGATCGTGACCCGCACCTGAGGCTGTTCTGCAGATACGGGGGGGGGTCAGCGCTAAGGAAGCGCGCCAACGCGTGGGGTCCGCAGATACGGCCTTGACCCAAACTGTCGGGTCTGCAGCCAAGCGATCCAACTTTAGCAGCTTATAACTTTATGACTACGCAAGTTATAATAATAAAAAGTTACTATTGGTGTTCGCGCAACTTAGAATTATTAATGCATCTATTCGTAAAAACGTGTGTTTTGCGGGTAAAAAATCAGCTCGGATTTTCGGAAGCGTGGGACAACTCGCTTTTCGTGGAGAACGTGGAGACCGTTAAGGCCCACTATTAGTAATGTACAGTATCGACGGGGGTTACAGCGATTGTGGATCTAATACTCGCTCGCTAGCACTAGCTCCTTTCGGTGGTCTGGAGAGGGGTAAACCCTGGTGGTTCAACCCTGGTTCCTTGAGGGCATTACGAGGTACGTTTGTTTGCTTTAGGCTAAATACGATCCTGCCTTGCAGGTCGGGCGGGCCGGCTACTGGTATCCGCCAGTGGCGTGCATCCGAAAGGCGGCCATGCTCGTACAGTACCTAGATGCACTTCTTGGCAAATCCAATCAGAAATGAAGATACGTAGTTGTTAAAGAAGAGATAAGAAGAAGTGCGTAATTGCGAGGCGGGCCGCCGATTTCGCCTACTTTCTCAGCCCTACTCTCCCTAAAGTAGGCGAAATCGGCGGCCCGCCTCGCAATTACGGAGGTATAGTCTGGAAGTTTTGTAGGTGGGGCCCCCCACTCGCAATTCGGTCGAAGTACCATACGCGTTCATCGCGTCAAATTGAATTAATCGGCGTGACCAAACTTTTCGCTTTTCAAGGTCGCGCGATCGTCAATACGGTCGAGTATTGCCCGAGCAGCTCGACGGCAGCAGCAAGCTCAGCAACAGCAGCTACCCCAACACGGGGTAAGAATAAGCTGCTATCTACTGCGCAAATTGAGGCGCTTAAGAAATGGATACTTGAGCAGTATTACCTAGGGCTTGGAGCTACTAGGAATATGATATTTGCCGCAGTCTGCAAACTCCGGAGCCCACAGCCCCCGCCATCACAGAGTTGGCTTACAAAATTTATTAAAAATGAGCTTCAAGAATACCACTTTATTACTACAAAGCCTTAGTAACCCTAACCCTTGGAGGCGAGCTCTCTGCTGACCGAGCCCACGAGCTTCGGGCTGAAAAAGCTGATTGTTTAGCCCAGAAGCTCCAGGCCAAAGAAGCCCGGATAGCCCGCCAGGCTATCAACCGGGCCCGCAAACAGCTCCGTAGAGCTGGAATTGAGGCCCGGAAGCAGGAACGCCTCCGGAAAAAGAGGGTGGCATTCTACACTAATGCCAGCCTCCCAATTCCTCTAGAGTGGGAGGACCCAATTCCTGACCCGGAAGCCTCTGAAAGTGAGGGCGAGGAGGAGTATGAGATTGCGGGCGAGTGTGGGAGCGAGCGTGGGAGTGAGGATGGGAGCGAGCGTGGGAGTCAAAGTGATAATTCAATAGAGTAGGCAGATTATGTACCTTTACATACAAATTACTATGGGCTAGTACTTACTCTCAAAATCGTGAGTTGGCGCAACTTGCTTCCTCTCGCGTGAAGTGGCGCATGTTGCTTACTCCAACCTTGAGTGAAGCGAAAAGTTTGGTCACGACGATTATCTTGCAAGAGGGTTGGAGGTCGACCAGATCGCTTTTTCGGTGAGGGCCTGCCTTGCTCAATAGCGTACGACGCCTGTCGGATTGAGCAACGCATTCGAGTGGCAATGGCTTGATACTCCCAATTAAGGGAGCGTAGTAGTTGGCATTTAAGCCGCTCATCACGAGTAAGGTGCGGCATTGTTAATAGAAAATAGATATAAATTCGTATAGTATAAATATATAAAGGAAAACTTACAACACGTTAAAAGGATACAAACAATTGAACGCGTACCCATGCTCACGCAATCTTAATAGTACGCCCCACCTACAAAACTTACGAGCTATACCTCCGTACGCATTACGAGTCACATCTTTGTTACTCAAGAAATACTATACACAGCTTTGTATTTTTAAGACACGCCAAGTCCGAAGTCATGGATGCAAGAAGGATGATCTGGGTATGCTTAAGGCATTCAATATAGATATTTGTCTGTTTATACCTGTGTGCGGGACTTAAGCCTGACTATGAACCGTAATCTGTTCAGCTTGAACATTCTCACGTCCATCCATCGGCTTAAAGCCGCGTCGGAACACGGGGCTCTCCTGGATCTTCTTCCAGTCATGAAGCATCAACCCATTCTCCACCGCGCAGGAGACTTCTTCCTTTCCGCGCGGGATCATCTCCTTCTCATACGCATCGATGGCTTCGGCAAAAGAAGCGTGGCCGTCCCGCACCCCGCCCAATCCTTTCAGGAGGTGTGATACGTCACATACACAGTGGTTGAGGCCTTGGCCACGATCTAGATCTAGTCAGCTTTGTCTCAGATAGCTAGCTTTCTTGCTTGAGCCTAGTAAGCCAGGAGGCAGCTTACAGGGCGGCATTGCATGTGCAGCGTCGCCAATCAGCGTGAGACGTCCCTGGCGGTTATTCCAGGGCTGGCTGATCCAGTAGCTGATGTCGGCTTTGTGTACAGCAGTATCCTCGGGCAACCACATGAATGCGGAGCGGGTTGGCTCAGCAAGGCTCTCGGCATGCTCTTTGATCAGGGCCAGCCGTTCCGAGTAACTGAGCGAGTTGTCGCTCTCGCCTAACCATCCCATGCCCATGTGGAAGATCCAGGATTCGGGATGGTCCGGGCCGTCAGGCATGCTGGATACTACAGGATGATTGGGATTAGCCGGATACATGATGCAAGTAGTTTTGCCGCGTACTGACTCGACTGAAAAGCATGGAACGACTTCGGGCTCAGAGCCAGATAGCTCGTGGGAAATTTCTGGCGCACAAATCGTGCCTTTTCGGCATCGCCGTAGCACACCGTCATGTTGGTGTGGAAGATCGGGAATTTGGTCACGGCCGCCTTCTCAGCGCTCTCCATGGCGGTTTCGCGGACCCGAGACCGTGGCCCATCCGCGCCTATGACCATAGATCCCGATACCAATGTGCCATCAGAGAAGGTGGCGATAACTCCATTGCGACTCTCGTTGAAAGCGATGTCGATCAGCGTTTTGCCGTACTATAAGAAAAGTCTCAATCCAGTCCGGAATCATCCCCAAATTTGCCACGGGATGGTGCTATTCTGCCAGGATCGACTCACCTGCACGTTGATGCCCTCAGCGCATAATGCTCTCATCTTGCTACGCGCAACTCGTAAGCCGTGTGCGTAAGGCACTCCCACCATCACATCGCCAGTCTCGCCGTTGATGATGGGGTAGTGGCCAGAATGGATGCCCTCTGTAAGGTTGCAGGCATTATCGGGAAGCTTGGCGTAAACTTCAGCAGGCAAAATCTCCTGAAGAAGGGGGAGAGCCCAGTGGATACCCATTGTCCATTCATTGCTACGATAGTTCATAGATACGTCCCTTTCGAAGAGAGAATAACGTATTCCAGCCTGTGACCGTGACACATGTTAATAGGTACCTGGATGTCTGCCTGATTGAGGTTGTGAACAGACCTTCTTCAAAGCCTGGCAAGTAAGAAGACCGGTGATGCCTGAGAAATCGAACCATGGTCAGTATCAAACCTGTTTGTTGTTTACATTTTAGCGAGTTCGATGACATACCGGCGCCAATGACAATCACGTGAAAGTTTTGAACACTCATCTTTCTGTTCTTTTTTATATTGCGATTCTTCGAGTCGTATCCTTGAGTTTCGAGGGGGTTCTCATGTATATTTTAAGGTTAGAGTCATCCTAGATCCCACTCTGGCAAAACATGTGTTCGTTCAGGTCTGAATGCTTTCAGTGTCGCTCGGTCGCCGACACCCGTCGGAGCTCAGCAGCCGTGCGTCGCACCTACACGTTCCACCAGAGCCTCACCGCGCGAGCCCGCCACCTCTCCCCGGACCTTCTCACTTGCGAAAATGAAGGTGTTCAGCTTCCCGTTTCTTTCTCCCATCCTTTGTCACGGACTTCGCCACCCAGTACCACCGACTCTGAAACTGCTCTTCAGCGCAAACTTAACACTGGGCATCCCCGTTGACGTCGGACTCACAACGTTTGGGGAGAAGTTGATCGTGCCCATCACCGACGGAGCATTTTCAGGACCGGGACTTAATGGTAAGGACAAGCACCCCCATCAGCTTCTCGGGCAATAGTCTAGGATTGAACACTGACCAATCGATTGCGTGTCCAGGCGAAGTTACCATCGGTCTGGTTACGTCCCTGACGGGTTCCCAGGGCACACAGCGTGCCGACCTACGTCCTACAGACCAACGACGGGGCTAATATTGTACTCACGGAGAGAGCAATAATTCCTTATGTGGAGATCCTGTTTGAGACTGGCAGTAGCAAGTATGGCTGGCTCAACAATGTCACTGCATGGGCAACTGGTACGGAATCCGACGGCCTGCTTTCGTTGAACTTTTGGAAGGTATGTCTGACTGACTCTATACCACATCCATCTCAACTGTTAATATCAAAAAAGGTATCGGCGTAAACGATTGATTCTCAGACTTGAACGTTGCAAATAAGAAGGGATGAATGAATGGGAAAGTGCAACTAAAATAAATGATATTGGACGCAACAATTGCGCTATAGAAAACGTTCAAAATTTGAAGAAGCGTGCATTATCTTTTCTCCTATTGTGGACAAATCAGGTATATTAATATCTACTATCGTATCCACTCATGAGAGTCTCGCTCCGGGCTATCAAAGCTTCAGATCGCTGCACTGCGTTGAACCCGAATTGACCATTCTCCGGGTGCTCGATTGTAGGCAGCTTTTTAAAATCTGATCAAAGGCACAGCTTTTGGGCCCATCTAGTTGAATGAGCTAATCAGCGCTGTTGCCGGCTCGCATAATGAAGATTGAACGCTAATAAACTCCTCCGAAGCTTTGTTAGGCTGGAGCGCGGATCTAATGAGTGGATATGATGTGATCCTTTGACAGGAGTCTTTTCGCTTGCGGTTCTCGGCAGCCGAGCACCATCTTACTGTGCCTTGTATTCGCTCCTCGGCTCCCTTCTCCGCCAGTGAATGGGGAATATTGATCTGCAGCGCTAGCCCGCACTTCAAGGTAAGAGTTACCTCGACAGTATACACTCCTGTTATGAAATCCAAACTCCTGGGCATGATGTGCTGATGATGTATGGCAATATCCACAGGTGACTTACAGCGAGAGGTATTCCTCACATACTGTCGTGGTCTATGGGAGGTTCAGCTGGGTGACAAGGGCGAAAAGAATGCGAATGGAGATAGCTAGTGTTTCTCACTAAGCAAAGATTACTATTTCACAAAAGAGGATTCTTAGAACAATGAAAACATGCATTTGATGAGAAGCTCAAATTCAAGCCCAAACATTTTGATATAGAAACCTTGGTAGGTAAGATGTGTATTGCTACACCCCTCAGAGCGCCTCTCTCGGTAAATCGCCAGATCCGTCGTTAAGACACAACTTTGCCAGCCGTGATATGCGCCTCGAACCAACCAACTGCCAACCTAGTTCTCTGAGAATCGGCAAAGTTGAGATGGTCTGGATTGACAACACTGACGAAGTGGGGATCCTCTCGAACTCGCAGGTAGTCCTGAATGTCTTTGAAAACAATCCTAATGATCGCATCACAATCCGAGATATTTCCAGTAGGAAGACGACCAGCGTATATTTTCTCTAGCATGGGCACATTCACCTCCGCGGTATTGTGTTGCTTTTTAAAGTCCATCAGTTTCGAAATCGAAGAGATAGAGAGGTTCCTAGGAAACGCGAACCGGCAGGATCTAGGCAATTCGATTTTGCTTACCATGGTGTAGGATACAATATCATTCTTAGCTAGCAAAGCTTTCAGGTGTCCAGCATGAGTTTTGCTGATGTAGTCATGATAGTCCTTCTCAGTCATGTCCGTTTTCTTGTAGCCAAAGATGGTCATAGCGTAGAGCTTATGGATTTCGGGGGTTGCCATGATGCCAGTGGTGGTATCAAGGAGGTATGTGTGATGAGAGAGGGGCAACGTGTACAGGAAGGCTTGGAAAACAATACCAAGCCAAAGAATAGTACGAGTACCACAGAACAGCGGGGCCTTTGGAGGAGGAAACCGGAAATATATGGTGTGAAAAATAAGACATAAGTACGAAAATGCTTCCGCATCAAGCAGTTGTCAGCCCCCGCTCATGTTCTTCTTTCGACCCTGATAGTCCGAGAAGCATCCTCGCCCCAACCTAATGCCTATCGGCACCGCCGCCTCTCGGTATGGTAAGTTTCGGGGTCCGTCGCCCGAGACTGGGCAGGGCTCACTGCAGGGGTGACAAGAGAATCTGTGGCCTGCAACTGAATGATTTCGAATCTTGTGTTATGAACAGTGCCACACTGTATTCTACATTGCGCATATACAAGACGCAAACTCATACGCGACCCTGAAGTTTCAATCTTGCATGAGAGTCCGATTCAAACTTCTGAATATGTCCTCCCAAGCCTCGAAAATAAACGTCATCTCAGGATCATCCACGACGGTTCCCGTATCTGGAACCGAATTTGCCAGGAAGCAATGTCAAGTACTTCTATTTGGCGACCTGAGCTTGCTGCGCTTTAAAGATCGATTGCGACGCCTGTTGCACGTTGAAACCAATCCTCTCCTCACGTCTTTCTTTGACCGGGTGAGCTATGCTCTTCGGAGGCTGCTTGGAACCCTGCCCGAGGAAGAACAAAATCTGTTTCCTCGATTTACCACACTCATCGACCTCGTCGCGAAATTTGGGGAAACGGACTGCGCTTCGGTCCTAGGGTTTTTCCTGTTGAGCGTACATGAGGTAGCTCAGTCCATCGTGTAAGTTAAAAAGTGCAAGACTTAACTCCCGAGATAATGTTCCATCAGAGTTAAGTTCAAAAGATGTATATGTACGTTCTAACGACGAGAGGTGTAGATACTTCACAGAGGGATCCAAACCGTATCCCCCGCCACCAGGAACCTATGTTATTGGTCCCTGCACGGGTGGCTTTGCTGCTGCAGCTATCAGTTGCTCGCAAAGCCTATCTGATTTAGTATCCAATGGAGTACATGCTGTACTTGCAGCCTTCAGTGCGGCTTTGCGGTCGTTTCTAGTTGGCCAGAGCCTGTTGCCGCGAGCAAAATCCACGCAGACGCAGCCCAACAAGTCGTGGTCGGCTGTTTTAATTGCGCAAGGGGATATCAGTGTTGAGAAAATGGTACAGGAATACACAAATATCAAGGTGAGAATTTGCAATAACAGGTACCACTTGGCAGCAGACGATTGACAAGGATCTGCACAGACACCACTTCATAACGCAGCGCTTTGGATCAGTGCCATTACACCAAAGACAACGACGCTGAGCGGTCGCCCTTCCGTGTTGCAAGACTTCCTGACAACAAACGTGCATAGGGTGAAGTCGCAATACCTAGAGATTGAATCGCCGTATCACTCGGCCCACCTCTTTGACTCGGCTGATGTTGAGCGGATTGTCAGCCATGTTCAGCGAGCTGACATAGAGGATGCGACACGTCAGGCACAGAGGATTCCGCTCATTTCCTCATCGACTGGCAAGGTCGTGACCGCATCTGATTTCACAGATCTCCTACAAACCGTGGTCCGCGAAGCCTTGCAGGAACCTGTCCGATGGGACTTGATGCTTGAATCGTTCAGTACGCTGTTGACAGAGGCACAGACACAAGAATGTACCATATTGCCATTCTCCAGTAATGCTGCATCCATGCTCTCTACAGCCTTACTGGGTAGGGATCCGAACATCCAAGTCATCATTCAAGATGTATCGTCGCCCCAATCTAAGGGCAAATCGACCCCAACTCCGCCCACGGGTCGCTTTGAGCACTCCAAGATCGCCATCATCGGATACTCAGGCCGGTTTCCATCATCCGCTTCCAATGAAGCATTCTGGGAGCTGCTCAAGGATGGTCGCGATGTGCACCGCGAAATCCCGCCGGATCGATTTGACTGGAAGACACACTTTGACCCGACCGGAAAGACGAGAAATACAAGCCGCGTCAAATCTGGGTGTTTCATCGACGAGCCAGGTCTATTCGATACAAGCTTTTTCAATATGTCCCCGCGAGAGGCTGAGAATACAGATCCAGCGCAGCGACTGGCTATCACGACGACTTACGAGGCTATGGAAATGGCTGGTCTGGTGCGCAACCGAACCCCTAGCACTCAGCAGGATAGAATAGGAGTGTTCTTTGGCACTACCAGTGATGACTGGAGGGAAGTAAATAGTGGGCAGGATATTGGTACCTATTTTATCCCTGGTGGCAATCGAGCTTTTGTGCCTGGTCGTATTAGCTACTTCTTTCGCTTTTCCGGCCCTAGTCTAAGCATCGACACTGCGTGCTCCTCAAGCTTCGCAGCTATTCAAGCTGCCTGTGGTTATCTATGGAGAGGCGAGTGTGATACTACTATTGCTGGCGGTACCAATATTATCACTAACCCAGACAATTTTGCGGGCTTGGACCGTGGCCACTTTTTGTCAACAACTGGTACGTCTACCCTTTATAGGCGGAGACCTCTCTCGATGGACTTACAAGGGAGTTCTACGACTAACAGTCCCTTCTATTAGGCAATTGCAATGCCTTTGACGATCAAGCCAACGGCTACTGCCGCTCTGATGCAGTAGGCACAGTAATTCTCAAGCGCCTAGAGGATGCTGAAGCCGACAACGACCCGATCTTTGGTGTCATTGCCGGCACTAACACGAACCACTGCGGGCAAACGGACAGTATTACGCGTCCTCACGAGGCCGACCAGACCAGTGTATTCAAGCGTATCATACGGTATGCCGATGTCGACCCGTTGGACGTCAGCTACATCGAGATGCACGGCACCGGTACGCAGGCTGGGGACGCCGTTGAGATGAAGTCGGTGCTGGCGGTTTTCGGGCCAGATTACACGAGGACAAACGTGCAACCGGCTCGACCCCTCCATATTGGTTCGGCCAAGGCGAACATTGGCCACGCAGAGTCGGCGTCGGGCGTTTCTTCGCTAATCAAGGTGCTCATGATGATGAAGTACAGCGAGATCCCGCGCCACTGTGGTATCAAGACCAGCATCAATCACAACTACCCATTGGATCTTGCACGGCGCGGCGTCTTCATTCCTTTAGAGTCGACCCCGTGGCGGCGTCAGGACGCTGTCTCCGGCAAGAGGGCGGCCTTCTTGAATAACTTCAGTGCTGCTGGAGGGAACACAGCGATCCTGCTAGAGGATGCACCGGCATCTGCGCCGCTGCCGATCATAAAAGACTCCCGCCCTATTCAAATTGTCACCGTGACAGCAAAATCGCCGAAGTCCCTCCTTGCCAATACTAACTCACTTGTCTCCTTTCTCGAAACGAAGGATCGTTCCGTCTCGCTTCCTGCTCTGTCATACACAACCACAGCCCGCCGCATGCACCACAACTATCGAGTCATAGTTTCTGGGCCGGACATAGCGTCAATTATCTCAGTTCTCAAAATTCGTGCGGGTGAGATTCAGGCATCATTGGCCAGTCTGAAGCCGGTCCCCGCTGCTAGGAAAAAGAAGCCGCAGGTAGTCTTCATGTTTTCCGGCCAGGGAGTCCTTTACGCTGAGCTAGGAAAGTCGCTCCTTGTTACCAATACCACGTTCCGCACAAGTATCGTTCGGCTTAATCGCCTTGCCGAGATCCAGGGCTTCCCGACGTTTCTGGGCCTCATCGATGGGTCAACCACCGCTGCCGACCTCCGCTCCGCCAATGCGATCGTCTCGCATCTCGCGCTAGTGTGTGTTCAAGTTGCGTTGACTGAACTCTGGATGAGCTGGGGTGTAGTACCTGCTGCCGTAGGTAGGTTATCCTCGAGTTTCTTTGTTATTTGTTTTGAAACGCTCCATAGAGCTTGTGACATTCTAGCTTGCGAATTGTTCATAAGGTTTCGAGACGAAACCTTTGAAATTCAGCAAGACCTACTCCCAGTATCCTGATTAGGAAGTTATTCGCTAACCTTCCACCTCAGTTGGCCATAGCTTGGGTGAGTATGCGGCTCTGCACGCAGCTGGAGTCCTCAGCATTGCAGATGTGATCTATCTCGTAGGAACTCGGGCAACACTTCTGGAGGCGCGCTGCAGGGTCGGTACGCATGCCATGCTTGCTATCAAGGGGTCGCTGGATATTGCAGAGAAGCTTATCCACCAAGTTTCCGAGGGCGAGGTCTGTGAGTTGGCGTGTGCTAATCAATCGTCTGGATATGTTATTTCTGGGCCTGTTGACAAGATTTCCCAGATCTCCAGCGCAGCCGTGGACATGGGTATTGAGACCGTTCGGCTGAATATCCCATTTGCGTTCCACTCGGCCCAGGTTGATCCCATCCTCTCCGAGTTCGAGAGGGCGGCGGGGCAAGGCGTTGCTTACCACCCTCCTGTGGTTCCCTTCCTGTCGCCACTGCTAGCCAAGCTCGTGCCAGCAGGTGACGAACACACACTCAATGCGTCGTATCTGACTGCCGCGTGCCGAGGCACGGTAGACTTTAAAGGGGCACTTGAAGCTTTTGCTACCGCTCAGGCAGAGGATGGCAGTTTAGTTTTAGGCGCCGCCGAACGCACTATCTGGCTTGAGATTGGGCCGCATCCCATCTGCACCGGTATGGTCAAGGGCACACTTGGCTCGCACGTAAAGACAGCGACAACCCTCCGACAGAATGTTGAAGTATATAAAACGCTGTCAGCGACCATCGAGGTGCTGTACCTGGCTGGAGTCGAGGTCAACTGGAATGAGTATCATCGTGACTTTCCGGTCTCGCATCAGGTCCTGGAGCTTCCCGCGTATGCATGGGATCTGAAGAATTACTGGATTGACTACCGCAATAATTTTTGTCTCACCAAGGGAGGTGGATTGATTAAACAGCCTGCTGTCAAGGAGGCCGTTATGCCAAAGTATATTTCACCGTGTGCGCAGCAGATAATTGAGGAGTCCCACGGCGCGGATGAATCCACGCTTGTCGTAGAGTCCGACATATTTGACGACAGACTGCTACCGGTCCTACAAGGTCATTTAGTGAATGGTGCTGCTCTATGTCCATCAGTAAGTCCAACCCAGGGCGATCAAGGGCCTCAGCAAAGATTATCTCGACGCAGAAGCGGAGAACGTGGCATCTGATAACACTGAACTGATTGCTAATTCGTAATTACAACCACAGTCGATGTATGCAGACCTTGCCCTGACCTTGGCAAATTATATGCTGACCCGAGGGCCCAACCCGCCCTCTGCTACCACCGGCCTCGAAGTGAATAATGTCAAGGCTGTGAACCCGCTCATCGCTCGGCTCACCGAAACCACGCATCGTTTCCGTGTCTCGGCCACGGCAGAATGGTCTTCCAGTCTTATTTTCATGACCATTTTCAGTGTTGACGGCAATGGCAAGCGCACCACCTCGCATGCACAGCTCGAAGTACGTGTGACGCCCCAACAGCGCTGGGCCAACGAGTGGAAGCGCAATGCACACCTCATCACAGCACGGGTTGATGCATTACACCAGAGCATCCATGTTGACGAACCAAATAGCGACAGCCACTTAATCAAGCGTGGAATGGCGTACAAGCTTTTTAGCACCTTGGTTCAGTACAGCAGAGATTACCAGGGCATGGCGGAGGTTGTACTAGACAGCAAGCGTCTGGAAGCTGTTGCCACAGTGAAGTTCCTGGCTGGCCAAGAAGGCTTCCATCTGAACCCCAAGTGGATAGATAGTCTGGGTCACATTGCCGGTTTCATCATGAACGTCAATGACAACGTTGACAGTCGGACGCAGGTATTCATCAACCATGGGTGGGAGAGAATGCGGATTGCCGAACCATTTCAAGCAGGTAAGACCTACCATGCGTATAACCGCATGCAGTTGGTTGAGAAGACAACCTATGTGGGTGATACGTATATTCTGGAGGAAGGACGTATCGTGGCCATCTTTGAAGGCGTCACAGTAAGTTCAGCTCACCGGCCAAGATCCTCGCGGCAACGCTGTGTTGACTGAATTCTGTAGTTCCAAGGTGTCCCACGTCAAGTTCTGGACCATCTCCTCCCCAGTAAATCCTGGTCCACCGACACGAAACCTGTCAACAACTCTCAGCCACCGAAACACAATTCTCAGTTGCCAGTTGTTAAAGGAGAGTCTGACGGCAAGTCCTCCGCGCGCTCTAGTTCCGAAAGCAGTAGTGACCAGGAGTCTGAGGAGACGCAGTTCACCAGCAGTGCTACATCAGTGTACCAGGATGCAACACAACAAGGTCAATCATCATCTGGACGCACTAGTGCTGCGCTCATTCTAAGGCAAATCATTGCCGAGCAAACGCGTGTGACCATCGACGAATTGAAGGTGTCAACATGTCTCGCCGACATTGGTATCGATTCGTTACTCGGCCTGTCTATCAGCGGAAAGCTACAGGAGATCTTGGATGTGGACATTCCTGGAAGTATGTTCTCAGAATTCGAGACTCTGCAAGACATTGAAGAGGAACTGCTCAAGGCACTTGGCTTGGACCAGTCCAACCCGAAGCAGGTCGGCCAGCCATTCAATAGGTCTACTGTGGCAGCAGACTCCTCATTAAGGGATGGCAACATTCCATGGTCGTCGGACTTATCGACCCATCAGATTTTGCCAGAGGAATGTCGGAACCAGTCCTTCGCTGATTCTTCACCCCCGCAGGCGACATCCATTTTGCTCTCTGGCTCGCCGCAAGCAGCTCGGCTGATTTTATTCCTCTTCCCCGACGGCTCAGGCTCGGCTTCATCCTATGCTGCATTGGCACGAGTCATCAACACCAGTAGCGTCGCCGTTTATGGACTCAACTGTCCCTGGCGTAAGATTGGAGCCGAGATGACTCGCACAGGGGTGACCATGTCTACAATGATCTCTAGATATGTGTCTGAGGTGCGAAGACTCATACAGCCGCTCTCTGATCATGCCCCTTTCGTGGCCTTGGGAGGTTGGTCAGCTGGCGGTATTCTCGCATTGGAAGCAGCAAGGCAGCTGAAACAGCAACCCGAAGCAATCAGGGTCAGCAAGCTGGTCCTCCTCGACTCGCCCAACCCGATCGGCCTACAGAACCCCCCGGAGAAGATGTATGATTTTTTTGACTCGCTGGGCATATTCGGCGATGGCAAGGCCAAAACACCGGAGTGGCTGCGTGCCCATTTCGACGCATTCCTTCGCATCTTGGACGCCTACGATCCTGAGCCTCTTTTCGATATTCCAACCTCTTTGATGGTATATGCGCGCGATGGGGTCTGCAAGGATCCGGATGGGCCGACGATGGAGACGCATCCAGATGATCCACGCGAGATGCTGTGGCTGTTGAACAACCGCACCGACTTCTCGGCGCGTGGATGGGCCAGCGTGTTGGGGCAGGAAAAATTGAGGGTAAGAGTACTGGATGAGGTCAACCATTTCAGTCTCATGGATGCGGGGCCGAAGTTGAAGGAAATGGGTCAAATTGTGACGGATTTTCTGGTTGGAGGATAGTATAGATAGTAGAGACGAATCATGCGTTGCCCTTTTCTCTCCTTTTGGTTCGGGTATGATCTCGGTTGGTAGTTGGATATAGAGCACTGCTGCAGACAGACTGAGACAGGAACATGTAATTCGACCTGTGTCTTCGAAGTCACTGACCGTTAGCCCCAAGTTGAGCTCTGTGACCTCTTGAAGATGTTTGTTATCTTGATATACGGGACACAAACTGACAATTCCGTCAAGCACGCTAAGTTGGGCACGGACTACTCGGTGTTCCACCCACTCGCTTCGCTCGTAGGTGGCGACAGCGATCTGTGCACGCGACAGCGATATGTGCAACACACAAAATGAAAGAAATAAGCCTCATATAGCAACTATGTAACTATATAATTAAATAATAAAATCAATAGAGCTACTATCACTATCTCCACTACTACTGTCGCTACTAATCCCAATGTTACTATCACTATGATCCTTACCATACCGTAAAATTATCACTTTGGATTTTAACCCAACCTTCTTCCGCTCTGCTACCCTCTTCCTCTCAACCCTTTGCACTTCGATTTCAATTTTCCGTTGTTGCACCTATAGCTGCTTTACTACTTGCTTTGATTCCTTTGCTACTCTTGCTTCTGCCTTTGCTTGTAATTTTGCTTCCTTCTCCTCACGTAACAGTCGGGCGTCTGATGCATATAACTGCCCCCCCTTCTGTAGCGATTTCCGTGCCCTTGCCTTTGCTGTTTCCTGCTCTGCTGACCGTAAGGTAACAATGTCAAGCTCGGTCTTATAGAGCTCAGCCTGAGGTAAAACAACTGTAGTTCCACATGCAAATGATTGAAACCCTTCTCTTGACGGTGATGAGAAAGCAGCCTCTACTCTCTTCTGCCAATGTTTAACTGCCTGTATAGTTTGCACACTAGTTTTTGAAGTTGAGATAAGGTCATACGAAGCAAATGGCTCGTAGTCTGGTGTTTGATTCTGGGTCTCTTGTATTTTATCAATTACTAGTGGAGGATTATATGGATATAGTCCTGCATTTCTCCAACCTGATTGAATTGTCCGGACAGTTAAGGATTGCCGTCGGATTTGTGGAAGGTCAGAAAGGAACGTACATAGCTTATACTCATAGTCATAGCTACGTACTGCTTGATCAAGTGCCTTTTGATGGAAGTGTTTGCACCACTCCGCCTTTTGTACCCATGTGAGTTGCGCTTCATTTAGATGTGACAGCGCAGATGTGAGGCGCTTTTTTAATGGACCGAACACTTAAGTGCAGTGACAGATTAAGAAGAGGTGAAATAGATAAATAACAATTACCCCCATCTAACCTCTAATCCAACAGTCTCCCACGCATAAATCCCAGTACTCCTACCCACGACCCATAAACTCCACTGTACCACAACCCACGCAGCCTCACCACCGCATCTCTCTCCCTCCTCCTCGCCTTCGCAGCCGCAACCCCCCTCATCACCTCCACCACCCCATCCACCGAGGGAGCGACTTCTGATTCCTCCATTCCCCCAAAACCCCGCATGGTCGCCAGACTACAAGGCGGCGGTATGGCCCTCGCAGGCGCCGCGGCTGGTGCAGGGGCTGCAGGTGCAGCATGCGCGTGTTGTCGGAAGAAGCTGCGAGGGGGGATAAGAGGTATCCGGCGGGGCAGGATGAGGGGGAATGTGGTGGGCAGTGGAGGAGGAAGGCGCAGGATGCAGAGGAGGCTGTGGATGGAGGAGTGTATAGGGAGGAGGTGGGGGGAGGGGCGGAGGATGGGTTTAGGCATGCGCCGGGGGGGAAGAGGGTGATTGAGATGCCGGAGACGCCGCCGCCGAGTTATGCGAGGTTGGCGGGGGGAGGGGAGGGGATTGAGTTGGAGACGAGGCCGGTGGGGAAGGGGACGGTTTCGGAGGAGGTTTGATGTGGGGGTTGGGGCGAGGAAGGTTGGATTATGATGTTTATATACTGTAGCGTTGTTGACCTAGGTTGTTTTCTACGATTTTTACATATCGTTACTTTTTTTGGGACTTTGTATAACGTCCTCCACAAGCGAGTGTCGCATACAAAGCGAGTGTCGCAGGCAATTGACAGATCTTAACAAACTTTCTAACAACAACAACTATAGACTAGAAAATCAATTAAATTAATTATACACCTGTTCTATAGTATCTTCGTAATCCCTTTGACATGTGCGAGCATTATGCCCAGTCTTACCACACATTCTGCAACGTCGTTGCTTTCTTTCAACCCCGCCACCCTGTCGTAGTTCTTGAGATATCTGCTCTTCCACAGCTAGGTGAGCAAGTACATCCTGCCCTTCTTGAATTGTAAGGCACCCTCCTTCTTGTATACGCTTTTTTTTTTCGCTTTTTGCGCTGACTTGCAAGTTCATTTGCTTGTTGTAAGGCCTGAACTTCCGCCTTCATTAGAACAGCAGAATGCACCATTGTTTGAGCACCTCTTAACAACTGGTCTAGCGCATTGTTAATAGGAGTTGGTGAGCTATTTTGATGGCATATAATGCGATATTTAAGATGCGTAGTTTGACTTGCTAGCTCTATTAGATTGTGTGGTGTTTTATGAAGCATCCTCAAAGGTTGGTGGTGTTAAAGGCTGTAGTTGAATGTCAAGCTGTGATAACACAACATCAGGTCAAATGGAACTAGCCCTGTAGCTCGAAAACTACTGCAGATGTTCTGCTCTGTGATTGCGTTTGTGAAAGCCTGCTTAAAGGCAGGAAGAAACTCAACTTTCGTAACATGGTTTATATGAGTGCAGATTAAGCTCTCAACTTGCCGTCCATATGCCTTCTTAAGTGGTCCAAAGCAACTACATCAAGTGGTTGAAGTAGATGAGATGAGTGCGGAGGCATATAAAGCAATATTATACCATTCTCCTTACAGTATTGCTCAAACGGTAGAGAATAGTGACTCTCATGGCCATCTAGGATTAACAGGCGATGTGTGTTACGATTACAGCTCACAGCTTGTTACGGTTATTAGGGGTGCAGCCTTAGCCACCAAGGCTACAACCGCTAAGCGGACAACTGTATATTATGAGGAATAGCCTCACCTTCCTTCCTTCTTCTTCTTCTTCTCTCTTTAGATTCAATCTAGCTTACTTTACCCGGACTGGCACCATGACCTCCGTGACCATCATAACATAAGATTGAATCTCACCTTTCTTTTGCTCTCTGTTAAGGAAACAGGGCACCCAGCTCACAGTAATAGCATATGAGAGTGCGAGTCGGAGGCTAAATGGATGCTATCCTATAGGTCTACTACGAAGGATTCAAAAAAGATGAAGGGGGAACCCCATTAAGTCTGTTTCCTTAAATACCCGAAACGGGCCCGACTCGGTTATCCCAACCCCCTTCCACCACAACAGGTCTGCATCGACCCTGAACCCTACACCCTTACCGTTCCCCACTATAGTGTAACTCGCTATGTGCTCCTCAACTGGTCCGAAACAGGACGAAGTCAGTTTTCATGCCCATGGTGACCGTAACAGCTCTGCGGCGGGTCCTTCGAGTATCTAGGTAAGGAGGCATCCTTACACTCTGAGCCTGAACCTTGATACTGAAATTTGAATTCCCTTCTTTGGAAACCCTACAACCATATCCTAAAGTCGATTCCAGAACACCACAGAACACACCAGAACACCACAGACTTCATAGATCAGACCTTTCACAACGCTCCCTCGAGAAGGAATATAGCTGTGAGGGAAGTGCACTCCTCTCGAGTGGCTCCTACAGTCGACAAACTGCGCAATAGGGCCTTTGGCGATATGAGTCTGATCTACTGAATACGAAAACTGAAAGAATAGCAAAGCTGCTATGGCACACACGGCCAAAGAGAAAGCCAAGATGGGTGACCAAAACCCAGAAGACTATGAGTCTATAAATGAGAACACAACATTAGCAGATGAGTCTGAGAAGAGAGATGAACTTCAAGATGACTTCCTCGAAGCCCAAGAAGAATTCAAGAGAATGGGCAAAACAGCTCAAGAAAGACACCACTCTATACTATCAAACGCATCATGAGGACTTGGAATGTCAACACCTAATCGTCGTAACCAACTTTTCGCTTCGCTCAAGGTTGGAGTAAGCAATGTGAAGGCGCCCGAAGCAAGAGGAAGCAATGTGCACACTGTCAAATTGCGACCGTAAGTACCTACACATAGTAATTAATTTATATGTAAAGGTACCTAAATAAGCTATTCTACAAAATTATCACTTCCTTACTCCCACTCGCTCCCACGCTCGCTCTCATACTGGCTCTCACACTGGCTATCATACTCGCTCTCAATTTGGGGGGCTTCTGGGTCAGGAATTGGCTCCTCGAACTCTGGAGGAATTGGGAGCCCCTCTTTATAGAGCTGGGCAATCATCTTCTTTCGGGCACGCTCTTCCTTCCGTGCCTCAATTCCTGCCCTATGAAGCTGTTTCCGGGCCTGGTTTAAGGCCTGGCGGGCTACCCGGGCTTCTTTAGCTACGAGCTTCTGGGCTTGAAGCTCGGCTTTCTGGGCCCGAAGCTTGTGAGCATGAGCAGCTTGGAGCTAACCTCCAAACTGAAGGCGGGCCCGGCTTCGACTTGCCTGCTTCTTCGACTCCTCAACCTGCCGCTGAGTAGTATGTAGGTCAAGCTCTATAAGCTGGCCTGAGGCTACAACCTCTTCTGTTCTGGTAAGCCAGTTCCTATAGCTCTCTACTAAAGCCCTCCGGAACCTGGTTTTTCCAGTGCTGTAGCCCCTCTTCTACCTCCTGAAAAGTTGAGGGTTTTGGGGTAGAAACCCGGATTGGTAGGTAGTAGGCGTAGGCGTAGGTTGTGAGTAGGTGCGTAGTTTCGTGAGGGCTGTATTACAGCTTATAGGCCAAATACCAGTTTTCTGGAAAGCTGATATTATAGTAGACTCCTTAAAAGTCTGCTCCCGAATGCGTGTGAGATCTCTCATGAAGGATTGTAGGTCGTAGGTAACGTCCATATCCCGTATGGCAGTAAGCACAGCTACTCGATGCCAGTGCTTATAAGGCTGGAACACTCCCACATCTAATGGCTGTAAAACGTGTGTAAGATGTGAGGGAAAGGTGTATATAATAATGTTGTGTTCTTCTGCTGCAATGATGAAGTCATTGTAATGGTGGGTGCACCAGATGTGAGAATCTAGCCACCCAAGGAAGGGATGATTTTACTAAGACAACACACTGTCTTAGGAAAAAGAGCCAAAGGGTCATAGCTTAGACTATTCCACAATGCAGCAATCAGGTGTATGATGTAGTGGAGTGGTTTAGACAAGTTGTAACAAATGTTAAGTCTGTGAACTCAGGGATAAGTCAGAGGTTAGCACCTTACTGACTTTTCAGAAACAAGGAGTAACAAGATCAATGCTTGGAAGCTTGGAAAAGACTTGGAAGTATGTGATAGTCGATTTACTGTATTGTCTGCTTGCCCTTTCTTAAGGAAAGGGCAATCCTATTTATGCTAAAGGAGTGTAGTTCTCTCATTTTCCAAGACTTTCCATGACTAACCAGGCTTGGTAACTGTAGTCAACGTAAGAGAATCCCATAGAACCATCTCTTAGGTTCCTAGCCTATAGGAAGTGAAAGGAGGTCCAAGGTCAGAGTACCCCTGTAGACAAATTATGTCATAATTTAACCAATCTTGTGGGTAACTAAGGAGTGATGACGTGTAATGAATTATAGAGGGTTGTAGAAGCTTTTGGAGCTATCGTTCATGTTCCTAGGCCTCTAGTTGATAGAGATATGTCATGTGTAGTATTAGCCCAGTAACTAAGGAGTAATGTCATGTAATGAATCATAGAGGGTTGTAGAGATATGCTATGTGGTCATATCAGCCCAGTAACTAAGGAGCAATGACGTGTAATGCATCATAGAGGGTTGTAGCAATCGTTGAGTAGTATTGCTCTTGTTGTTGGTGTGGCAAGCCAAAATATGTATAGTGACTTGTAGGTTTGAGGAGGAGATTTCTAAGTTTGCTCTTGAGTTTGATAGCAAACTGAGTGCAATGAATGTCAGTATGACATCCAAGTTCTTTCAGACTAGCATCTACGAAATTGACCAGATCATCCATGAAAAGGAGTTGGTAGAGGATGAAGAAACGCTCCGCCTCATCCAGCAGAAGCTTCCGCATATGCACCGGAAGTACACCGATGTCTTTTCGAAGTTGGAATCAGATCGAATTCCCCCACACTGCATATACAACAACAAGATACAGCTCGAAGCCCCTTTACCAAACGCTTTCTCCCTGTTATACCGACAGGGCACCGAAGAGCTTAAGGCTACCAAGCAATACCTGTTAGAAAACCTAGAGAAAGGCTTTATCATCAACAGCAACAGCCCCTTCGCGTCCCCTATCCTATTCGTAAAGAAAGCGGATGGCAAATTAAGATTTTGCATCGATTACCGGAAGTTAAATGGTCTCACCCAGAATGATCCCTACCCCATCCCGCGTATCTACGAACTACTAGGACGGGTGTCGAAAGCAAAGCTAGATATCAGACAAGCCTTCCATCGCATACGGATGCACCCCGACTCGGATGAGTACATGACCTTTCGGACTCGCTATGGATCATATAAGTGCAAAGTGCTGCCATTTGGACTGACGAACAGTCCCGCAACCTATCAGCGGTATATGAATGACGTCCTGATGCAATATTTAGACGACTTCTGTACCGCATACTTAGACGACATCGCCACACCGAGCTATGTACAAAACTAATCCGAGAAGCGCACGACCAGGTGTCGGTGGCACATCCTAGCGGCCAGAAAACCTATCAATTGATTGCCCCGAAGTACCACTGGGTCGGGATGTAAGCGGATTGTTTGCGCTATGTGAGGAATTGTGTGACATGTCGGCTTTCTCATACCAATGTCACCAAGCAACAAGGATTCCTGCACCCATT